TCTATCTATCTATCTATCTATCTATCTATCTATCTATCTATCTATCTATCTATCTATCTATCTATCTATCTATCTATCTATCTATCTATCTATCTATCTATCTATCTATCTATCTATCTATATATCTATCTATCTATCTATCTATCTATCTATCTATCTATCTATCTATCTATCTATCTATCTATCTATCTATCTATCTATCTATCTATCTATCTATCTATCTATCTATCTATCTATCTATCTATCTATCTATCTATCTATCTATCTATCTATCTATCTATCTATCTATCTATCTATCTATCTATCTATCTATCTATCTATCTATCTATCTATCTATCTATCTATCTATCTATCTATCTATCTATCTATCTATCTATCTATCTATCTATCTATCTATCTATCTATCTATCTATCTATCTATCTATCTATCTATCTATCTATCTATCTATCTATCTATCTATCTATCTATCTATCTATCTATCTATCTATCTATCTATCTATCTATCTATCTATCTATCTATCTATCTATCTATCTATCTATCTATCTATCTATCTATCTATCTATCTATCTATCTATCTATCTATCTATCTATCTATCTATCTATCTATCTATCTATCTATCTATCTATCTATCTATCTATCTATCTATCTATCTATCTATCTATCTATCTATCTATCTATCTATCTATCTATCTATCTATCTATCTATCTATCTATCTATCTATCTATCTATCTATCTATCTATCTATCTATCTATCTATCTATCTATCTATCTATCTATCTATCTATCTATCTATCTATCTATCTATCTATCTATCTATCTATCTATCTATCTATAAACGTTAATGTATTTCTAACACTTTGCTGTATTTATTCTTTTCTTCAAGATAATAAGCTTCAATATATACAGACCATTTATAAAGAGAGCTTACAGGTGTGATGCACGTAACATAGTCATAAATGCTGCTCATAGATCAACCTGTAAAGATCATGATAATTATAACCACACTTTAATTAATCAAATCATTATCCATTTGAGTAGTTAAACAATGTTATGTTTTCTATTTATGATGATTTAAGTATAGTTGAAGCTGATTTTTGAGAATTGCATGCCATTTTTATAAATTAATCGTCTCAAAGAAAGCATGTTAACGAGAATAAATAATTATGATAGTTCTAGAGCTTGTTGCATTTCAAAATCTGCTCGCAAACATAAAAATACACTATTTTAGAGACCGCGTCACGGATTAAAACAACGGAAAACATGATGTTTTACCACAATGACTTATTAATCAGACAATACATTTTTTATCTTATAGTTTATTTCTTTTCAAACAATCCCAAAGAAAATAAGTTTTCTAAACTAAGAAGAAATGAGGAATGGTTGGATGATTTACTTATGGTCATGCTTTACTTATTTATTTTAATGTTTTTACTTTTTGTCCTTATGTTCATCTATTCCTCACTTACTTCTTTACGCTCAAAATATTTTAAATACCAGTTTATAAGAAGTATCCGTATTGTAACATTCGTTCTTTTTGCTGTTCTTTTTTAATTTTTTTTCTTTACACGTTCTTTGTTGATTATCAATATACGCAGAATTAAACGTTAATTTCTTTCATAATAAAAATGTTTGAATGTCTAAATTTTTATTTTCATACAGGATAATTGACAAATTTACCAGCAAACACAAACGTCCTTAGAAACAAAACGGAAATTTGCTTTAGATATATTATTTCATTTGTAAATGCCATCGAATCGGTACAATATTTCTTCGATAACGTTTTCAGTCTAACTTTTCCTTACAATGATGAATACCTAGGGATTGTCAAGCACGTAAATGTTTTCAGAAAATCTAAACGTAATTGTTATTAACGAGAGATAATGTCTACATAAATATTCCGGCTTACACGATTCACGTTTTTGTCTATATATCTCCGTTATATATAATGATTAAATCCATCAATGTCCCTCTTTAATGCATGACATGATGACAGTATATGAATAGTAACTGTTTGGATTCTTTTATTCTTTTAAAGACATACAAACGATACTGGTGTATCATAATGAGAAAATGCCAAGGTTTAGATTTCCTACGGACTGTATTTTTCGCATGGAATGCGCTTATGATATTACAGAAAATTTCAAATCATCTGAAAGGACAGACAATTACTAAAATCAGAATATATGCTCTTAACATTTATGACGATAATCTTCAGGCATGCTGATTTTGTTTTTAAGTCATTTTAATTTTGGTTTACTTTATCAAATATCCTTCTTCACTTTCATTTTTGTTACTTTGATTTAGAGAAATAAAGAATCTACCTATTGAGACTTAATATTATGAAAAAAAGTTTTATGTTTGAAAACAAAGCAAGTTAATTATTTACAAAATTTTAAATAAGATAATAACTCAAACTTTGTATCAAAACATAACGCAGGTCATTGTGATCTTTGAAAAATGTTCATGGTAAGATACTGATTATTTAAATAATTAAAATATCTTCAAGTGATTGTGAAATGGTAATGATAGATATATTGAGCGAAAGCCATTATTTCACTGAAGCAGGAATAAAAGGAAACGTAGTCATCTTTTATCAACAGGAACAATAGCGATTATTTAAGGCATTTGTACACAATGTGCGAAAATTATATTGATAATTATAGTTACATGAAATTAAAGGTATTATAACAACGTATAAGTTTTTTAAAAAAAACCCCAAAGATATGGGTTACTTTTCCCTAAACAATGTCATAAAGAATTACAGAAGAGAATTTTTCTCAATTATGTCATGAGGAATTAAACCGCAAGGTTATAAATGAAGCTGACACAAACAGTCTTTATTCCTTACATTTTTATTACAAGAATAAAAAAAGACAGATATATATGTTAAAGAGATCAATATTTGAAAACATGTTAATAGTGCATGGTTAAAAAAATAAATAGTACGACTGATATATAACTTTATTTTGTGATATTATTACATTTACATATTAAATATGATATAGTAATAAATGTATAAGGAACGTTCAAATTATTTGAATATCTTTAATAATAAGCAAATATATATAAATATATATACATCAAATAATTGTTTCAATTATCGTATCTGAATCAAAAGCAAATGCTAGCAAACTACTACAGATTTATTTTAATTACATGAACAATTAATAAGAGAAAGTCTTGTGATTTGAATATATTGTTTATATTATATATTTTCTAAATCATGATATACATATCCTCCCCTCCCTTTAACGTCCTTGTGTCCTCTTCCAATTAATAGTTATGTGCCCCCTCTTTGTCGCTACTTTTGTGACTGGATTGTGTCGGGGGCTGCGTTCTGTGAACGTTGCCTTGCCTTGTTGATCTTTAAGCTCCTCTTTTACAATTACCTAGTGGTGGTTTTTCAAACTTAATTAACACATATTCTCATTTTTTTCCAACATAACGTTTTTAATTAAATTTTACACGAATATTTATAAGTTTGTTAACATCAGCTTAACGATTTACTGATATATCTACGTTTTGGTAACAATGAGATAAGAGTTAATGACACTTCCCTTATATAGGAGAAAAATTATAGAAAATGTCTCAAGCCAGACAAAATAAGTAATAAAATAGCAAAGTATCATCATTATATCTTGTAAGAAGGTATAACAGCTCAAGATTAGCAGAGATAAAGAAGTTTTTCGGATATATTTAGAAATGATGTATATTGAACGATGTAAACAATGGCCTTGATAAGATGTACAATGAACATGTTTATTTTATTGTAAAACGTGTAAGTTTAACTGATTTCCCAACTTGTTAATGTACGAGTATATAATCTAAAAGCACAACAAAAAACAACAGAAACAGCAATGAAAATGTCAGAAATCGCTACTACCAGATTTCGCAGAAATTTGTATCATTGGGTCAAACCACCTCACGTGTGTGTTCCAATTATACAGATATTAAAATAATAAACCTACAATGTGAGCATTAGTTACATCAACATAGTGAACATAATATAAGTGTTTGACAATTGTATTGAATAAAAATGGGGAACAGATATTAGCTATTGTTCAAAAATAAGATTTTGCCTGACTTGAATTAAAGTAACAAATATTCCTATTCATAAGCGAACAATAAGCAGCAACATGCCCTATCCTCTCCCGCCCCTTTTAAAATATCCATGTTATGTTCATGAAAAGTACTTGTACTAATTCCAAAGAATAAAGTTTTGTGTAAATTTAAAAAATAAATTGGTTAATTTTCTGAATTTTAAGAATAGTGTTAGAATGAATAACGATAGTGTTATAAAATATTTTGCTTACCTTTCAAAAGACAACTGTTGAATGTAAAATAATGAAGGTTTAAAAATGCGTTCAGCTTTTCTTTAAATATAAGGTTTATAAAAGAGAGTTGTCAGAAAATTACGGTTATTAGAAACAATAAAAATGAAACAAGCAAAATCATATTAATTTTTGGGTCCTTATAATATGATTGTACACATCCCTGCTCAATGATTTAATCAAAATTGTTTGATATGTCATAAGAGTTTACAAAATGCCATGTTATATGGAGGCATGAATTACAAATTAATGTGAATAATTTTAGTAGCGCGGTAAAATAATATATACTGCCATTCAGACACCATTGTAGGATGAGAACTGATTGCAATAAAAATGCTGCTAGTTTACTTAACGTCAATGGTTTAATTGATGTTAAATGTGGCGCCAAATGACGTGTCAGGCTGTTGTTTAATAAATTGTATTGCACAATATGTATATGCTCTGACTAAGTGTTAAACCTTTCAGAATGAGTGATTAAAAAACAGTTTGCTTACCATTCATCGTCTTTTATATCTCTACATTCCATTTTCTGTTAACTTTGTTGTATGCCTAACATTTATTAGTTCTAACATTTGAATATAGTATGTATGAAGCAAATTCGTTGTTTTCTATAGAGTACGATCTCTCTAAGTACTGAGACGACAGTAGTATCAAATAGTGACATAATGGCGTTCCTGATAAACTTGGAAACTAAAATTGTTAGTGTTGAGACGCGCCTTAATAAGCTTGATTTGTTAGACCACAAAGTTACTCAATTTGATAAAGACATTAAAACTTTGTTCACACAAATTCACGATCACAAGAAAGCTACAACTGATAGTTTACACGGATTAGACGATCGTGTGGAAAGGGTTGAATTTATCAGTGCTCAGTATCAATCGCGCATTGAATCTCTAGAGAAAGAGAATGATGATCTGAAGGACCAAGTAACCTACTTGAAATCTCAATCAATGCGCAACAATCTCATTTTCGGGGGATTCAAGGAAGAGGAAGATGAAAATCTTGATAGCGTTATGCGCAAATTCTTTGTGGATAAGTTAAAAGTGGCACAGAGTATTGTTGATTCTATGAAAATAGAGCGAGTACATAGATTAGGCCAAGTTAAGGGTAATACAACGGAGCCTCGCAAAGTTGTCTGCAGATTCGCTTATTTCTCAGACCGTGAAATAGTTAGACGACAAAACAAACTTTTAGATCACACGGATTATTTTTTGCACGAGCAATTCCCTCCTGAAATTGTCGCTAGACGCCGTAAACTGTTACCGAAGTTGAAAGCTGCTATAAAGGATAAGAAGAAAGCCTGGTTTGTTTACGACACCCTTTACATAGACGGAGCCCCAGTCAAGTACGAATAGGATTTATTGGAGGATGAACTTAGTATTCTAGTATGGAATTTAAATGGTTTAACTGACACAAAACGTTCTGATAAAGATTTTCTTTCCATTTTAACTGATAATGATATTATTGTTTTAAGTGAAACATGGACCGATAAAAATTCAAATGTGTCTATAGAAGGCTATCGTTGCTATAATTTATATCGAAAGTTCAAACATAAAAGGGCAAGACGTAATAGTGGTGGAATGTCAATTTATGTACGTGAATGTCTCAATCAAGGTGTATCTATAGTTAAGAATAATTTTGACACTATTGTCTGGCTTAAATTTGATTGTGATTTTTTCATTTTGATAAGGATGTTTATTTTTGTTGTTTATATTTATGGCCGGATGAATCTCCTGCTGCAAATGTTATAGACGCTAACCTTTTTGATGTCATAGAACAAGATGTCTTTAATTTTGAACAATCGGGTCGAGTATATGTAGCAGGTGATTGGAACTGTCGTATTGGTAATAAACCTGACTACATTGTTTGTGACAAAAATATTAGAAATTATGATCCGGACTTTTATGTTCCCGATAATCACCTTGTCAGGGCCTCGCTTGATAATTTGTGCAATACACGCGGTCACAAAATGCTTGACTTGTGTAAAGCAACCGGTTTGCGGGTAGCTAACGGGAGATTAGGCCAGTTAGATAATTCTTGTGGTTTTACCTATTATAGCCGCGGCGCGCATAGTGTAATTGATTATTTACTTCTAAAAGAGCCCGATTTTGATACGCTTAGTATGTTCGAAATTTGCCCCTTTAATATATTTAGTGATCATGCTGCTTTGAGATTAGGTATGCGAACGATTAAACAATTAACGGAGGATATTGTTAATAACAATGAATCTCGCGTTCACACAGTTTACAAATGGAACACGGAACACAAAGAAATCTTTCGGCGCGGCCTTATAGCTAAATTACCCGATTTCAATAATCTTATTGTAAGTGCGGATTGTAGTGATTTAAATAGAATAGATTACACAGTGGATATGTTTACAAACATCATTTCGGAAGTTGCGTCGCCTCTGTTCAAACGTGAATATAAAAATAATGTACCCTCCCAAGCAAATCTAAATATATGGTATGATAAGGAATGTGTCGACCATAAGATACTTTATAAACGCGCGTTGCACAATTATAACAGTAACCAGTCCGAAATAAATAGAATTGAACTTTGCAAACAGCGTAAAACGTATAAATATATAGTGCGCAAGAAAAAATGCGCTTACAAATTGAAAGAAGGTAGGAAGCTTTCGGAGTTAAGAAAAAGTAAACCGCGTGAGTTTTGGAAATATTTTAAATCTAATAATCAGTCATGTCAAAATGATATAACAGTAGAGCATTTTAAAAATTATTTTTCAGATTTGTTTAATAATATTCCGACAACTGTTATAAATGAGGTTGAAAATTTTAACGATACTAATGATTTAAATTTACATGATCCTACATACGGTGAGCTTAACTTACCTATCACACTAGGGGAGGTAACCGCTGCAGTCAAGCGACTCGGCCGAAAAAAATCGCCATGTCCCAGTGACAATATTTTAAATGAATACTTAATCGAATCGATTGATATCATTGGAGGCCATCTAACAGATCTTTTTAATATTGTTTTTAATTCAGGTTATTTCCCAGATATATGGGCACAAGGTTATATAATACCGATCCACAAAAAGGGAAGTAAAAATGACCCTAACAACTATAGGGGCATTACACTTTTGAGTAACCTTGGAAAATTATTCACTGGTGTGTTAACAGCTAGGGTTGAGAAATGGTTCGAAAGTTATAATATTCTATCTGACGCCCAGTTCGGTTTCAGAAAGGGTCACAGCACTGTAGATGCTATATTTGCATTACATAACCTCATAGAACATGTTATTTCGCAAGGGTCACGTTTGCCATGTGCATTTGCAGATCTACAAAAGGCTTTTGACTCCGTTTATCGACAGGCACTGTGGTTTAAATTGTATCATCTTGGGTTGGATGGAAAACTTTTAAAAATGTTTAGGTCTATGTATAATATAGTTAAGTCTTGTGTTAAACATTCTGATTCCTATTCTGACTTTTTCAATATTTCCATTGGATTGAGGCAAGGCCTAAATAATTCGCCAGTCATGTTTGCCCTTTTTCTTGAAGACTTGGAACTTTTCCTGCAAGGATCCATTAAATCAGGTTTATCTATTTATGATATGTGCCTTATCATACTGCTATTCGCCGATGATATGGCAATTATTGGCCATTCTGTTGAAGATTTGCAGGCCAGTTAAGACAAATTATACGAGTTCTTCCAGTATTGGGCCTACAAGTTAACACATCTAACACTAAGATAGTGGTGTTTCGTCGTAGGGGTGGACTAAAATGTAATGAGTGCTGGCATTTCAATAATGTGCCTCTAGATATAGTTAATGACTTCAACTACCTAGGGGTGGTGTTTAATTATACCGGCTCATTCGTATTAAATAAGCAGTACATAGTCGGAAAGGCCTTAAAAGCCTCAAATATACTGCTAAATAATATAAAACAATATGAACTTAGCCCTTCGATATCGCTTCAATTGTTTGATGCTTTTGTGGGATCTATCTTAAACTATGCCTGCCCGGTTTGGGGCTTCACTAAGTCCAAAGAGTTAGAACGTGTACATCTCAAATACTGTAAAACGATTTTGGGCGTTAAATTAAGTACAAGTAACGTATCGGTCTACGGGGAATTAGGGAGGTATCCGTTATTTATCATTAGGTACACACATATAATAAAGTATTGGTTTAAATTACTGAATACGGATAACATTATATTAAAATGCATTTACGAAAATGCCCGTGACAAATGTGAAAATGGCACAAATAACTGGCCATGTAAGATTAAAAAACTGCTTGCGGTACTTGGTTTTGCCGAAATATGGAATTTTCCCGATAGTGTATTGTTAAAACAGTTCTTACCTGTTTTTAAACAAAGACTTATCGATTGTTATTTACAAGAATGGCGTGCAGATGTATCTAGTAATGGTGTGCTCAGTCATCTATATTCATATGTAAAAGATCAGTTCTGTTATGAATTATATTTAGATAAGATTAATTATAAATCTTTTAGAAGCGCTCTTACACGCCTTCGAGTGTCCTCTCACAGACTTAGAATTGAGTCCGGAAGGTATGGTCGAGGCCGTGTAGAACGCCACGAAAGAACTTGTCAATTCTGTGATACTAACGAACTCGAAGACGAATATCATTTTGTTTTAAAATGCAGTGCTTATGAAAATCTACGTAGTCAATACATTAAGCGATATTTTTACATTAGGCCTAGTATGGCCAAATTTATAGAACTACTACAATCTAAAAGTCATAAAGTACTTACAAACTTATGTTATTATCTAAAAAAGGCAAACATCAAACGAAATGATTACTTCAGATAGTATTATGATGCAGTTTTGATTATATATACCTTGATGTTTTTTCAGTATATTATTATATAAATAATTTATCAAACAAATTCGATTAAAAGCGAAGTTATAGTTTGTTCTCCGCTTAAATTTAGTACTCTTCATTATTCATTTACAGAAGTAATTTAAAGAAATGGATATATAATTGATAAATGGAGTTTGGTCAGTGTATGTAATGTATCACATTGTATGTATTAAATATCCCATTGCTCAGTATTGTATTGATTTGTTTTTTCTTTATGTGTAATTGTAAAATATGTGACCTATAATTATATTTAAAAATGCTTGTAATAACGATGTACCTATGTGTGTACAAGTTATGAAATAAACTCTGTTCTGTTCTGTTCTATTATATTTAATCAATAACGTAGTAGTTAAGCAACGTAACTTTGTGATATTTTAAATTTGTTTTATAGATTATATAAAACAAATAACAACTCAAGACGGTATTCTAAATAAAAAACTATTGCATATATAATCATTATTCAAAGTACATGTATATAGCTATAGCATATATTTTGAAAGAAATGATTATGTTATCAACGGCAATGTGTTAAACATCCCTCTTGATTCTGTACCAGGGAATTGTTGATTTCAACGAAACTTTACCTTTGAAAAAGTATCTTTATACGCATACAAAAAACGTGCCGACATACAACGATCATAAAAACCGTCTTTCTTATCCAATGTAAAGGATGACTTTACACATTCCAGTGCTAGACAAGGATTTTATACCCACGACATTCTTTAACGTTGTTTGAAAGCATTCTTAAAAATATAAAACGACAAAAACGGCAAAATAAAGTTTCTTTCAGAAACCACTTTGTTCAACTATGTTGGAACTTAACAGAGAGCCAACATCTTTGATACAGATTGACACAACAATTTAACACCAAACTGTAATCCATAATTGAACAAAATTTATTAGAACGTTGTCACAAGAAAAGAACATAAAATCAGTGGTCTTAATGTATGGCTTCAAGACAAATTAAGTAATTCTTTACAAACGAAAAGTCTCTTTCTTTTTTGTTGGAAGAAATGTTTGTCTAATTATGACCATTGAAATATTTTCTTTTAAGAAATGTTAAAATCTTTTAAAATAGAAAATTCGTGGATAGCAAATTAAAGAGGTGAAAATCGCAGACTTATAATAAATAGAGTCTGTTCATGAGATGAGAGAAACTACAACGTATCTCATGTCTCTAAAGTGATACCCTTTTCACTTACACTGTTGAAAAATAATCCTAGAGAGCCCAATCAACAATTATCTTCTCTGGTCAACAATTGCCTTTTTGTCAAATTTTAAAAATATATGTAATATGAATTTTGTTAAAGGTAAATCAATTCATACTTAATTTGTAGCCTGTTTAACTGATGTCTTACTTTATTCTTTGTCGCCCCAGAAAGTTCAGTGTATGGTTAGGTGACAAAATGTGACAATATATATGTAGATTTATTAAACAAGAGAAAATACATGCGATATATTGGAAAATATATGATCAATGCAATTTTCTTCCGGTTGAAAAGAAGGGAATTTTAA